GCCTTAGAACAGAGAAGGTCAGAGCTGGGAGGGGCCTTAGAACAGGGAATGTCAGAGCTGGAAGGGGCCTTAGAACAGGGAATGTCAGAGCTGGAAGGGGCCTTAGAACAGGGAGTGTCATAGCTGGGAGGGGCCTTAGAACAGAGAAGTTCAGAGCTGGGAAGGTCAGAGCTGGGAGGGGCCTTAGAACAGGGAATGTCAGAGCTGGGAGGGGCCTTAGAACAGAGAAGGTCAGAGTTGGGAGGGGCCTTAGTCCCAACCTCTTCATTTTCCAGAGAAGTAGACCAAAGTTGAATGGTCACCCAGCTGTACCACGCTCTCCTGCCTCAGTTCTCTTCTGATATCCCGTACCACTAGGTAGTGAGCACCTAGAAGCCCTCAAAGTTCTGCCTTACCCGCAGGCCTCATTATGGGCAGTAGCACCTTGGTGTACCATGCCCTCTGTCCTTGAGAATATGTCCAGGTGGGGCCTGAGGTCCCTGAAGCTTTGCCCCATAGCCTCTTAGGGCTTCCATTTGCAATGAGGTTTCCCAGGATTTCACTGTTAGGCAAGCAGAGAAAGAGGCCTGGTGGATAATAGCCCTGGAAATCAGCAGGGGAAACCCCATCTGCCTTCTCATTGACTCCCAAATGTTTCTGGTTGTCAGAAGCATCCTCATGTTAATTTCAACTTCATTTACCAAATGAGAAAGATCAAAGCCTTTAGAGTTTAATCTGTCTTTCTGGGAGGAAAGGGGTGGGGGAGAGAACAAGAAGCCAACCTTTCCTGTACCCCGCCTAAGAGGCATTCACCACTTCGCGTGTAGGCCGAGAAAGCATATCTTCTCTAAGCAGGAAGGGCCCTCAGAGGCGATCAAGTCCAACCCCCTCATTTTAAAGAGAAGGAAACTGAGGCCCCAGGAAGGGATTGGCCCAAAGTCACACATTGGAGCCTAGCTCTAAAACTGGAAGGGACCTCCAAGGCCGTCTATACCAAACTCCTAGAAACAGGCCTAGGAAGGTTATGTGACTTGCCTGAGATCACACAGCTTGTAAGTGACTAAACTGGAATTTGAACTTGGGTCTCTTGATTACCACCCCCCCACCCCAGTTCTCCCCTCCTTGAGTCCAACTGCTTTCAGCTCAAAAATTCTCGGGCTCCATTCCCTCTGTAGCTGAGCAGTCCCTCTGTCTCTAGACAAGCAGGCCCCAACTGTGCCTACGTGAACAAGGAAAGGAAATCGTCAATTGTTCCGCTAAGTAGCAATCAATAGCCGGGCCCTGATTGGGGGTGGGGGTGCAACCGTGAGAAGAGCCTGTTCCAGAGGCCTATAGGCTTCTGGGAAATTTCCATCTCTAATTTCCCTGATGCTGGGATGATTCCTTCGAGCTGTCTCTTTGCCACTGTTCACACTCATTTAATCCACTTGAAAGGAAGAAAGAGGGAACATGGCCCTGACAGCTGCTTTTCACCTCCTTCCTCTTGAACATTTCTACCAGGAGCCCGAGTTTCCAGCGAATGTTCTGGGCTAGATTTCGTGGGACTGCAGTTCTCTCTCACTGGCTCCCATCTCCTCCAGCTTGATTGTGCAAATCCCCTGGGCCCCTTCCAGTTTACCATTGAATGATTGGCTCCGGTATCCAAGTTCAGGAAAACAAAAAGCCAGACGTGGAGGAGGCCCACAGGAGTGCTGATCTGAGAGCTCTGGTGGCCTAATGAGGCAGCCTCCTGGGCCCCCGAGATCAGCTGGGGGACTAGATTGATTTCTCATTTTACTTCCCTGATGACATCAGACAGCATGGGGAAGAAACGAGAATTCAATCACAGACTAGCAGAGCTGGAAGAGAGGAAACTTAGACCCCAGGGCCCTGAAGGGACCCTCGAGACCAGCTAGCCCAGCTCCCTCCCTTCTCAGAGGAAGCCAGAGACCCTGGGCAAATGTACTTAGAAGGAAAGCATATTTTTCCTCAGAAGAAGTGTCAGCTGCTTTCATTGTCCTCTGTGCAGTGTTCTAGCCTTGTAAGGTCCCCAGGGGCATTTTCTCCGGTCTGCCATCCAGCTCTACCCCCTGGACCTGGCATAGCCATGGGGACACATAAAGAAGCCCAGCTAGCTCTCTCACTTTTCTTTCCTCCATCAGCCAGGCCCTCCAAACACAGAATAGATCAATCTCTAGTTAGATTGCAGTGTTGGTTAGAAGTACAATGGCGGGGAGGGGGAGATGTTTCATTTAGAGGCAGAGGACCTGGGTTTGAGCGTTAGCTCTGCAAATCCTCCTTATAGGACCTGTAACAAGGCCCTTGACTTCTCAGTTTCCTCCTCTTTGGGATTCAATGAGGGCTAGTTTCCAACTCTAACATTCTAGTATTGTGGGGCTTGCCCAAGGTCATGAAGGGAATTAATGATTAAAGCTGAATTTGAACCCTTGTTGCTTGACCTTTCCCCCAAGAGAATGGCCCAGGTCACCTACCCACCAGCCACTTAACCCAGAGGGACACTGAGTACTTTTTTGCTTGGTATACCTGAGGGCAAAGGTAGTGGATGCATACCACCTGATGTGGCCTGGGGGGGGGGGGTGCAGGAAGGGAACAGGGAGGCAGAGGACCTTGCATGACTTCTGCCAGGCTGAAGAGTCTGTGAAAGGCCCAGAGGCCACTCAAACAGGAGGGACAGTGCTAAGGGGAAGGCTACATTTGGTCTGCTCTGGGGCCATCTTGGGGCTGTTGGAAACTGATTACAGACAGCTGGCACTGGAATCATCCAGTCCCTTGGTTTTACAAATGAAGAAACTGAAACCCAGATGAAGGATTTTTGTCCCAATGTCCCATAACTTGGAGTAGAAGAGCTCGGCTCTTGCTAAGGCCAGGATTACCTTGCAAGCATCATCTACCCCACACGTTCTCTAATGTGTCGCATCTCTTCCACCTGCATCGCTGACATCCGAGGTGCTGCCTGGCAGCCTGCCAGGGGATGCCAGGCCCTCCCCTTTCCCCATCCCCTACAGGCCCTCCACACTGGATTCTCATCCTCCCCCTCCACGCCTCCAGGGCTTCACCACTTTGGATTCAGTTCATTAAGAGTAAATGTTAACTGAGTTCCCAGGTATCCTCCCGGCTCAGCTTAGAGCTCTGGACTCTAGCCCAGAATGCCCATTTGACTTCTATTAGGAGAAAGCATTTCCAATGAGCTGCCCATCCTTGGACTCACTTGGAGGGGGAAGAACAGCAATGAGATGTGACACAAAGATCATGGGAATTGGTGTCCAGTGGCTCTGGGGTCTAGCCCTGGTTCTGGCATTGTGTGGCCAAGGACAAGGCTAGTCCTTTCTCTGTACCTCAGTTTCTTCATTTCTAAAATTGGATTATACATGCTCATCTCCAAGTTCCCATTCTGTGCTCTGAGGTCCCTCCCAGATCTGACTGATATTCCCTGTCCTAAGTCCCCTCCCAGCCCTGACCTCTGTTCTAAGGCCCTTCCTAGCTCTGACATTCTCTGTTCTTAGGCCCCTCCCAGCTCTGACATTCTCTGTTCTAAGGCCCTTCCCAGCTCTGACATTCCCTGTTCTGAGGGCCTTCTAGCCGTGACATTCTCTGTTCTAAGGTCCTTCCTAGCTCTGAGTTTCCCTGTTCTAAGGCCCCTTCCAGCTCTGATATTGCTTGTTCTAAGGCCCCTCCCAGCTCTGACATTCCCTGTTCTGAGGGCCCTCTAGCCCTGACATTCCTGGTTCTAAGGCCCCTCCCACCTGATCTTTGGTGACTGCATATAGGATTTTACTTGCTCTTGACTACTCCAGGGTTCTGAGGGCCTGTCTTTTGCCCTAACTTGAGGGCTTGAGTCTTCATTGGTGCAGGGCCTGTAGCCTGGGAAGCTTGGCCTAAGAAGCAGTAGCAAGCTTCTTAGCCAAGGGATGGGACAGCTGTGTGTTGCTCCCTGTGGGTGATGGACAAGGAAGACAGTCAATAGCAACCTCTTCTGTTTTAATATGCAGATTTTAATTAACCAAGGGGAGGGGGGAAACCCCAATTACAAGAGACTGAGTAGATTCTCCCTTTCCCTGCCCCCCTTTACTCATCTGGAAAGTAGAGGGCCTGTACCATCTGCTCAGATGTACACTTTTCACAGGAAAGAAAATGGTCCACCACAAGTGTGGCCTGATGGGAACACTGGGCCAGGCTGCAGGAGCCCTGAGCACATCCCAGCTCCATCACTCATTTGCTCTCTCACTTGGGCCAATTCCTCTCCTTCCCCACCCCGCTTCTCAGGAGAGCAGAGAGAGGGCTTCCTACAGCTTAGGTGGGTGGGTTCAGCAGTTCTCATGGCTCCCACCTATCTTCTTCTACCCCCCTGTCTCCTCCTTAATTACAACTCCAAGAGTAACTCCACCTCCTCTCCCCCCCCTCCCCCAGCCCTGCCCTCCTCTTCCCCCATCATGAGGCCTGGTTATGAGAGAGCCCAGCACTCTGGCTTCTTCCCTCCAGGATTCTCTTACCACAGTAGAGGAAAGGTGCTCACAGTCTTATTTCCAACCAAAGGGAGCTGCAAATTGCCATGTTTGATCCTGCCTGAGAAAAGAATCTCCTCTGACCCAACTTCAGCAGCAGGGCTCCGTTAAAGCATCCCCCTTTCCACTCCTCAGGCCTCTTCTAGAAGCCGCAAGAGTTCGAACTGGGAGGAGGAGGAGGCCTGGGTTCTAGTTCTATTTCCTCTACTTAGTGATATGACCCTGGACAACTCCTTTCCCTTCCCTGGGCCTCAGTTTTCTTCTCTGTAAATTAGAGGGGCTGAAGTAAATGGCCTCTGAAGCCCTTTCCAGCTCTACAGCTAGGCTCCTACGTGTGACCTTCCTCTCCCAGGGCCTCAGTTTCCTCATTTGTAAAATAAGGGACTTGCTTCTCTCCACATTTGGTGGCATGGCCAGCAGGTCATCTGCCATCTCCTCCTTACCCTCTCCATCCTGGTTGAGGGAGAGAGGAAGCTGAAGGTGCTCAGGCAGCCTCTGACCTGACTTTGTCTCTCTCAGGGGGAGGACATCCTGGACCGGAGCTCAGAGCTGATCTACACCGGGGAGATGTCCTGGATATACCAACCGTACGGGCGAAACCAGCAGAGGGTCTTCTTCCTCTTTGACCACCAGCTGGTCCTCTGTAAAAAGGTAACCCAGCTCCGGGAAGCTCCTTCTCCTGCCTCCCTGGCGGCACAGAGCTCGGTGAGAGGGCTGGGCACTGTGGGGGGCGGGGGGAGGCAGGGAGAAGGGAGAGGGGAGGAGGGTGGGGGCACCAAGCCCTAGCATCCCTTGCTGCAGCTCACCGTGGGTCTCTCCATCCCTCTTGGTTCACAGCACAGGGGTAAGGACTGCATAAACGGCAAAGGGGAGGGCCAGGGAAGGCCGGAGTGTGGCCAGGGCCAGCTTGGAAAAGCCTTGTCTTGGAGGCCCCAGCCTCCTCTTTCTCCTCACTGTGTAGTACCTCCTTTTCCTACCCAGAAGTCTTAGTTCTCTTCCTGATCTCCTTCCTTGTCCACATAGGCAGTGACCCCACTCAGGGCCTCATTTTCCTCATCTGTCTGAGACTGGTCTCTGTAAAGCCCCTTCCAGCTCTAAACCCTGTGATTCCGGGTCCCTTTCCTTCTCTGGGTCTTAGTTAAATCTTGTGATTAGTCTTAGTCTTGTGAGTTCAAATCAAGGGACTGGAGTAGATCATCTCTCACGTCCCTTTGAGCCTACACGTCCCGTGGGCATCAAGCTCCATTTCCTTTGTCCCTTTCCAGCAGGTGGCTATTAGCATTTTAATCCTGAGCCTTTTCCAGGGAATGAGAAAACTATAGCCCTTGATAGAGGGGCTTGGGCATCACTAAATGAGTGGGGGAAGGAATTTGTGCAACATGGGGGACCTCTCTAGTACCTCTGAAATACTTCCATGTAGACAGTGGCCTAATCTGTCTGTGGGTAAGAGCAGCCCTCACCCAAGTGCCTAGTGAGGTACATTTGGAAAGGTGAGCTGAAACAGAGGGCTAAGTGTGGCTTAGTGTGGCTAAGAGACCCAGAGCAGCTATCTTGGAGCTTAGAGCCAGAGCTGGAAGGAAATCTCAACCACTAGTTCAACCCTCTCAGGGTGCAGAGGAGAAAATAGAGGCCCAGGGAGGGAAAGGGACTTGTTCAAGGTCACACAGAGGATCTGTGATCTAAAGCTGGCAAGGCATACAGAGACCATTGAGTCCAAACCTCTCATTTTACTGAGGAGGAAACTGAGGCATGGGAGGAGCCCCTAGCAGGTAAATGCCTTCCTGTCCAAAACAGCACTGGCTTATCTTAGGAACCCTTCAAGCCACAGCTGAGTGACCAGTTTATTGGGGATATCATAGAGGGTGCCTCTGCTTTGGGATAGGCTAGATCAGATGTCCTTTGAGGGCCCCTCTCATACTGAGATTCCCTTCCAAATCCTGGGGCACATTTTCTTTGCTTCTGTCCACAGTAGGTGGTCATTTCTGGATCAGAAATTTTATTCTAAGCTCTCTTGTCAGGCGTGCAGGAGGAAAAAAAATTCGTAGTGGAGGGCTACAAAAAGGCCTAGGCTGTCTCTGGTTTGGAGGGCTCGTTCTGAAGGCTTCCTCCTCCCCTCACTTTTTACCTCCATCCTACCTAGTCCTTCTACCCACTCCCTGAGACACCACATGAAATGCTTGACTGGAAAATCACTGAGTCATAAAGCTGTCATTCTGACAATATCATTTTTTCCAGCTCAGGCCATAAATTCCACATCTGTTTTTTTAAGCTCCCTGTTCTGTGTGTGTGTGTGTGTGTGTGTGTGTGTGTGTGTGTGTGTGTGTGTGCGCGCGCACATGCATGCATGCCCACATGTATGCCGTATGTGTGGTGGGTGGATGTGTGTGGGTGTGTGGGTGTATGTGGGTGTGTTTTATCGAGCCTGGAATCAAACAGCATCCGCATTTAAAGGACAGGTCCTGAGCAAATGAGTTGACTCTTTCCAAAAGATATACTGATCTCTTGTTTTTACATCACCTTCATTTTGGAGTCTATCCCTGCCACTTCCTTACTCAGCCATCCATATCTTAAAACAAAGGATTCCAAAGAAAGAGAAGTTCAATCCAACGAACAAAGGCATTGAATGAGCCCAACCGTGTGTCCTGCCTTGGCAACGAAGGGTGGATAGGGAGTCGTGGACCTTCTCTCCTCGGGACCCAGCTTCCTCCTCATGACTGCACAACGTTCAGTTTTAGCAGCTGTGCTCCTGTCCATTGTTTTACTCGTCACCTATATTGCTTCCTGGTTCTGCAAACTTTGGTCTTCATCAGTTCAACCCAAGTCTCTGATGGGCTGACTCTTGACTCAGTCTGGAGCTGAGCCTGCGTAGGAGAAGGGCTGTGGATCTGTAACTGAGATGGTCACCAGCTCACCTTCTGCCTAGCTCTGCTCCCAGCACCCCACCAAGCTCCAGTTAGCGCATCAGGCTAGAGAGAAGACCTGCCCGCCCACAGCAGGACCGACAGAGCAGCCTACCTCGGAAGCCTTCGTCCTCTCTCACCACCAGAGTGTGTGGACACAGACAAATAAGCTAGGAAGAATGGCCAAGGGGCCTTCCTTCTCTCCAGTTTGGTTTTGCTTTCTCTGAGTTCATTCATCTAACTTCAACAAACTTCAACACGGATCATGGAGACAGTCACTTCCTTTCCCTGGTCTTCAATATCTACTTTTGTAAAATGAAGAAATTGGACCAGATGACCTTTCAAATCCCTTCCATTTCTAATTATCTATGAGTATGACTTTCTGGGGCAGTGCCGGATGAGCCAATGTCAAAGGCTAGGAGCAAAGTCAAATCATTAGCCAGTCTGGGCCCATAACATACAAACCAGCTGAAGACCAGAATAGAGCCGTGTGAGAGGGAGCTGAAGAAGCCCAGGGTCACAGCTTCCCAGTGAGCTAAACCTAGGTGAATGTTGAAGAGAATAGAAGCACTCATAACTCATCAGACACAGGAGAATCTGGGAATGAAGGTAAAGCCTACTTCTGACAAGAAGCCTCTCCCTGTTACAACAGGAATTGGTGACTGTCTTCCCAGGGAAAGGCCAACTAGGGGCCTCCCCTACTGCTGCAAATGGGCCCAGCTGGTAGAGCTTGTCATGAAGACTATATCTGATAGTTTTCACCATGGAACTATAGACAAGGACTTCCATTTGAAGTCTACAGTAGGCCCCTTTCTGCTCAGTGCCCAAGCACTAAGCTACATCTGTCCACAGTGGCAAGAGGTGATCAGGAAAGACATGGGCATCCACAAGCTGTGCCTTTGGCCTTTGCCTTATCTTTCAGGTGGTCTACCAGTCAAAGCCAGAAGTCCAAAAGACCTTTGCTTCAGGTTTCCTGAGTCTTTGATGATCTGGCCTATCTTCCCTATTTGAATAGAGATGGAAGACATGGGTAAAGGAGAATTGGACATGAGGGCTAACTACTCTCACAAAGGAAATGGATGGTGGAAGTGAAGGGGACACAGACTGAAATGATTACAATCTTCTTGCTAGGGCCCTTGGAACATAGAACACAAAATGTCAGAGCTGGGAAGGCCCTTAGACAATAACGTGCCCAAGCTGTGAAGGGTCCTTAGAAGATAAAATATCAGAGCTGGAGGGGTTGTAGAACACAGAACATCAGAGCTGGGAGGACCCTTAGAACATAGTATGCCTAAGCTGGAAGGGGCCTTAGAACATAGAATGTCAAAGCTCGGAGAGGCCTTAGAAGAGAGAATGTCAGAGATGAAATTGGCCTTATAACAGGGAATATCAGAGGTGAGCCTTAGGACAGAGAATGTCAGAGATGGGAGGCTCCTTAAAACAAGGGATAGCAGAGCTGGGAGGGGACTTAGAATACAGAATGTCAGAACCGAGAGGGGACTTAGAACAGGGGGTATCAGAGTTGGGGAGAACCTTAGAACCCAGAATGTCAGTGTTGGGAGGGGACTTAGAACAGGGGTATCAGAGCTGGGAAGAACCATAGAACCCAGAATGTTGGTGTTGGGAGGGGACTTAGAACAGGGGGTATCAGAGCTGGGGAGAACCTTAGAACCCAGAATGTCAGTGCTGGGAAGGGACTTCAAACAGGAGATGTCAGAGCTAGGAGGCTCCTTAGAACAAGGGATATCAGAGCTGGGAGGGGCCTTTAGAATACAGCATGCTTACGTTTTGAGTGGCCTTAGAACATAGAACATCAAAGCTGGAAGGAACCTTCCATGTCATCTAGTCTAACCCACTTATTTTACAGAAGGGAAAACTGAGATTCCAAATGAGGGAGTGACTCACTCACCCAAGGCCACATAGCTAGTTCACAACAGAGCCTAGACTAGAACTCGGGGCTCCTGGGTTCTACTCTCTAACCGTCCTCTCCTGGTGTTTCCTCTGCCCCATCAGATGTCATGGGGGCCTTAGAGGCACTAACTTGAGACTCCCTGGATAGCTCTCTCCCTTCCTCTCCTCCAACTCACATTTTTTTTCCTTCTTCCCATGGCCCATGCCCTCGGTCTACCAGTGGTACCACTTAATCCCACTGGGGGCCCTCAGGGCTGAAGAGGTGGCTGAGCCCTGGGCTAGATCAGATCAGCAGGTCTCTCTTGCATGCTGATTAAACATGGGGTGCTGGGAGGCCCAAGCTTGGCCCGGCTCCCTTACCAGTCATTCAGGCCAACCTTGCCACAGTAGTGACCCTTCTGTGGCTTATGGTACTTGGCAGAAGCCAATCTCTAGGGCTGACTGGCCCTCCATGGCTGTGCCCGGTTGGCCATGGGATGCTGGTATCGACCTCTCCCTTGCTCTAGTGGGCTTCTTCCCCGCAGGACTGTGCCATAGCCGTTTAACCGTGAACACCAGGCTGGTTGTTGGTAACTGGTCCTTGACCGTTTCACTCCATCACTTCAGTCCCCTGCTTATTAGGCACCCATCATGTGCTCAATGCTTGAGGATACAGAGAGGAAATAAGGCACAGTTCCTGCCTTCAAGGAGCCTACAGTTTAATAAGGGAATGGGACATATATCCAAATAGATATATGCTTAAGTGTAGAGTAAGCAAAAGTACAGTAGGGACCAGGCCAAATGGGACGAGGCATTTGAGGAACAGGGGACCAGTTTCACTTTGGGGTGAGGGTGGTAGAGTTCTGGGAAGACATCACGAGGCAGGTGGTACTTGAGCTAGAACTAAGTGGAAGG